CCTGATTCGGATATATTTGTCTGGCCAAAGGTAATATTTGTGATTTATCTCTAGGGTTTTTGAAAAGTACTAAATATTTACAATTTAATGAAATATCTCTTGAAAATTTTCCTTGATGAAATAGATTTTGTGTTACAAAAATTTCTGTGATGTGAACCTCTAGTAAATAACTCACATATTCGTTTGTCCTGTGTACTTAACATCATATCGTCTAATACTATTAATATACGTTCATGATTATCATTTATGTCTGGAACAGTAACATAATGCTCAAGCCGTTCTATATTTTTGGGAACAGCATTTTTATCAGGATTACACCAAATTATTTTTTCAACACAAGATTTTATATTGTCTTTATTATTTTTTAAGAGATTATGTATAAAAGTGGTTTTCCCACAGCACGATGGACCGGCCACCATCATTGATTATGTGTTCACCCCAAATGGGTGAAAAAACATAATGAAAATAAAAATTGATCTTGTAACCTACATATATTTATAACATAAAACATGTCAATTGGTCAAAATATTATATAAATCTAGTAACCTCTTCAGTACTTTTATTTTCATTTAAACTTTCATTGAGGACAAGCACTTGTTTTCAATATGAGCGGACAGATTTTTATTGTCGACCTTCAATTTGTACAAGGAAACGAAAAACACTATTTTGTAAAAGAATTAGCTTTACTTGAAAAAGGAAGCATGATCCCCATGGTGTATTATTTTAAATCTCCATACTCTGAACACGAACTTACACAAAAATCAAAATATAATGTTCAATATTGTGAAGATAATATAAATGGATTAAAGTGGAATAGCGGAAATATAAAATATTCACAAGTACCACATATTACTAAGCAAATTTTACAATCAGCTGAAAAGATTTATGTAAAGGACATTCAAAAAAAGGTACAACATTACAACAGTTCATTGACAAATCCAAAATAGAAGATTTAACTGAAAGTATGCCAACATTATTACAAATTGAAAACTATAAGTCTTTATGCTCTATTGCTGCACATAATGGAATTAAAAAATTAAGATGTGCTGTAAAAAACGCAATAAACATTTACATACATTTGATAAAGAAAAAATACTGAATTAACTACATAATAAAAATATGAAAACAAAAGTTCACTTTAACTTGAAATTAAAAATTCATTATATGTATGCATGGGATTTTGCTTACAGAATTGCTCGAAAAGGAATATACGAAAAACTTGCACGAGATAGGAACCGGTTTCAAAGACGTATAGAAATATTTGAACCAGTGATATCTGCAATTCTAACCTGTAGTCATCGAAAAAAAATATTTAAAGAAAGATTCCAAGAACAAATATGTACTATATATAATTATATTAAAGAAAAAGTGAGAAAAAAAAGTGTTTTGAAATTTATAGGTATATATGTACGTTCTATAGAACATTCTACTTTAAGAAAAATACAAATGCGTAATGTATTAACAACTAGACTTTTTTGATTAACCAGTTTTTTTTTTGTATTTAAGTACAATCAAAGAAAATGAAAACAAGAATTTGTTTTTATTTTCAACGCAACTATTTGCAACAACAAATTTCATGCATCTTATGCAAAAGTAAGCAATAAGACATTCCTGCTATTTCTTAATTATGCATAGTAAAAACAAAAAAAATGCGGTGCGCAAGCAACTAGCTACAATAACAAGAACTAAGGTAGAAGGAAAATAAAAATTATAGGTACTTCAATGTAAATATAACAAGTTTTTTCCTTTTTTACTATCAAGGTAAAATTAAAAATACGTACTTTCTGATATTTCTGATTACCTAATACTATTTTTAAAATATTTAATTTAAGTTTCCTTATCTGCTGGAACTCCGGCAAAGGAAACTCACATGTAAACAAATCATGCAAAGTCTCAGGTACGCTGAACTCGGACAAGTAAACAACTTGCTTTGCAACCTTTGACCTACTTTATAGTTCATTGACCTGGCGGCCACCTCAGCTTCGTACATTCATATGTACATGGGTCATGACACACTTAAACAAGTCATTTACCTATACCAGGAAATAAACGACCCGTTATACAGGTCATGACATACTTTAACAGGTCATCTACCTATACCAGGAAATAAGAAAGTGAAAGTGGGGCGTGCGATATGGGCTGATTTTTTCCCAGAACAAAGACACCCAATACCTACTCTCGTGTTATAGACTGTCCCGTAAGTTGCCTACCTGAAGAGTTGTGATCTGAGAATATTTCTTCAATATATTTTGCCCATAAATCTTTCCTTTATTCAGTGTCAACAATTAGTTGGTTTTTATGATTTACCAAAGTAAATAGATTTGATTTACGATATTGTCCCGATATTTCCTTTATTTTTCTATAAAGACTGAAATCGTCGTGTGTACGTTGTATTTCTTGGATTTGTTTGCATTCTTTAACCAATCTGATTGTGCCTTTCGACATTCCTTTCTAATTATATTTTGTATTCGACGATATTCTAAAATATTTTTATTTTTGTATGTTCTTTTTTCATCCACTAGTGCTAAAATTGCTGTTGTCATCCATCTTTGTACATTACAGTTGTCATCAATATTTTATAAATAATTCATACTAATATTTTATGTTACTTATTGAATTCAACGGCATCGGAACGTCTTCATTTTTTTTTTATCAACATAAAGAGAAATATTTCATTTCATCATTTCTAGGAAAACTTTAATTATAGAAAACAAAAGACCATTTAAAATATTTGTTTGTATGCTACATTTTATCAAACACAAACTCACTTTGCTTCAAAAAATTCAGTCCTGGTAAAATTATGTTATCCGAAGTAATTTTAATGTGAAACAAAACAAAAACAAATGCTTTCTTTGCAAAATTAAAAACTTAATAAAATTAAAAATTATGAATTAATCGAAATTCTATTGAATGAATATTTCTTTTAATGAATAACATTCACATGTATGTATATGGTGTAAAAAAACTATTTGTTTTTGCAAATGGTAATAGCGATTCAGAACTATACACCTTTTTTTTCCCCCAATTTTTTTTTTTATTTTTCATTTGTTATAATTTTTTTATTACAAGTGAATGAATCTCAATAAAAGTTTTTATAAAATAATATTTTTTTTAACTATTATTATTAAATATTTTATGATACTTTATTTACAAACTGCACTAATTGTATAAATATAGTAACAAAATATTCTTTGTTTACTTTTTAAATAACGGCGCGTAATTTTCTAAAAAAAAAAAAACAATATTTAACGGCATTTAATGTGAATCTGACAATGCTCGGACGTACCTTCATTATGTTTTTTTCAAGTTTCGATTTTTTAAGGAGTGTGAGCGAAATAGAAACAAAGATGCCCCTTCCTTTATTATTTTTAATTCGTTGTATTATAATTCTATATGTAAAGAGAATTCCATGTGTAAAGAGAATAAATACACAAATTAATTTACAAAAAATATAACTTTTATAATAATTCATTACGCGAGATTCAATATAAAATATGTTGAAATAGCGTCGCTAATCAGGAGTACAAATGAACGATATTTTTATCGTTATGAAGAATATCGATATTAACCCCGAAAGTACCATTATTTATCTATCAATACTCTCGCTACGACAATTTTGCATAAATATCGGCAACATTAGCGAAAATAAGAGGAAAACAAAAATATCGAAAATAAATGGTATAAAAGTTTCCGCGTTTTGTCTTCAGAAGGCTTTGAGCGATTTCAAAAATGAATCTGTTCATGTTCTTTGGAAAATGTACAACATAAATCAGTTTTGTCGTGCTGCGAAGGTTTTGTTTTAGAATTTGAAGGAAACAAAATTTTGCTACCTTTTTTGAGCTTTCTTCTTAATTTTCACAATATTTTCATTGCTTGTTTCGTCATTTGTTGTAAGTAAGCGTTTTTTTTAAAGTACTTTTTGTTTTTAGTTTTATCGCTGTACTAATATCTTTATATCTAACAAGTCCCAATGCTCAGAGAGAAACTTGAAAGCACGACCTTATTTTATATGGGTTTTTTTAAATCGAAGTGGCTAGTTTTTGAGAAGAAATATTGAAATATATTCACACTTATTATAAAGCAGGTAAAATTGCGAAAAGATATTTGAAAAATCAAGAAAATATATTAATATTTTCATTCATTTTATTTTAAAATTCTTAAAACAGCGGAAAAACAACAAGCACAACCTTCGCCTTCGACGTTTTATATGTTACTGAAAGCATTTCATTATTTTTAAGTGAACAGCTTTTTTTTCTCATAGAGTAAGTTAACTGAAGATATGGGAAGTAACTGTGGTGTCAAGTTGAAAATATAATTAATGAAAGATAACTATTGATATGAATACATAGTAAAGAGAAAATTTGAAGAAGGCATTAGAAAATAATTTCTAAAATACAATCAAATATTATTTACAAATTTTATATACACTTCTAAATTTTACTTCTATTTTTATTTCAGAAAAATTTTTAAAACTTAATAATATATTTTCATGTAGTTTTGTGGGGTTCAGAGCTACTTGAATTTTCTCTTAAATAAATAAATTTTATTTTTAGTATAATTGCACTGAAAATTTTAATTGGATAATTTATACTAATATTATATTCTGTATCTTTGAATTTGTGATAAGATCTTTCTACTTCATTAAGTACAAAATAAAGGAAAATTATTTAATTAAATTATTTAGATTCAATATACTACCAACATGTGCTATTTGTAGCGGTAAGGTTCAGCGTAGTTCTCTTGCTATTGAATGTGGTGACTGCAACGGTATATTGCATGCTCATTGTGCTAAATTGTCTCAAAATGAGATTGATTATATGAATAAAAACAATACATCATATACATGCTCCATTTGTCGACTGGCAACGCCGGCAATCTGTTAACGATGAGAGTGTTAGTCATACAATCAACTCTCTTACGATAAGTATAACCAATACACAAGCAAATACACAAGATAATATTAAAAATTCTATTGCTACAAGTATTAATTCGCTTACTTTACCACAAAATATGTCTACTACTAAGTCAATTACAAACCAGCAAAAAACAAATGGTTCTTCAGGTAGTCAAACAAATAATGTTACTCTTCCATTTTTGTATGCTCTGAATTTAGAAATGAAACAAATGCTAGCAGAAAATAAAACTCAAATTAATAAACTTATAGAAAAAAAAGAAACACTCAATAAAAAAAATTATGTCTCTTGAGTTAAAAGTAAATAAGCTAGAGCAAAATAAAATGAAAAAATGTGTTGATGTTGTTGGATTGCCAAATGTTAACTCAAATATTGTGAAAGAGAAAGTATTATCTCTCTTTTCTCAGATGTGCAATGAAAATTTGAGTGAAAGTGACATTACCAATTGTTACATCAAACATAATAATGTAAATAAAAATAAGTCTAATAAAAATATTATTTTTGTTAAATTTTCTTCAATGAACTGCAAGCAAAAAATAATGAATTGTAAAAAATTTTTAAAAACTAAAAACTTCGGTGTTTCTGGAGAAGCTAATAGTGACTTTGTGAATAAAAAAGTATATGTTAACAATAGTCTAACTTTGTTTTACAAATCTTTATTGAAAAAAGCCCAAGAAATAAAAAAGGAAAGGAGTTACAAATTTTTGTGGATTCGGAATTCCACGATTTATATGAGAAAAATTGAAGGAAGTGATAGACTGGAAATTACGTGCTTTGAGGATTTAAATAGAATTTCCAACATTATTAGTTAAGTATTTATTTGTCGAACTGCATTTATTTCCATAAACTAATTTTTTATAATCTACTCAAAGCTTAATAAAATACTTTCTCTTGTTTATCATTTTTTAATAATTCTCCTTATTCACATATTGTAATTAATTTTTTAGATATTGTTATATAATTTTTGTAAAATTTTTATTTTTTTTATTATTTTTAGTTATAATAAAGTCAAAGTTTTTGGTTTTGCATCAAAACATAAGAAGTTTAAGGGTAAACTATTTGTTACTTTTAGGATATCTTAATTCATTGGAAGTTCTTCCAGATTTATTATTTATAAGTGAAATTTGGATATTCGATTGGGAAGTGGATGATTTTAGTATTCCTAGTTACTCGTTTAATGCTGCATGTAATTCATTATATTCTGCTGCTGGTGTATGTGTGTATTATAAGAATAAATATAATTGTAGTACGTTTAACTATAATTTGACAAGTGCTGATGTTTTAAAAGTTTTTTGTACTATTGATAATATTGAATATTGCTTCGTCGGAGTTTGTAGATTATATAGATCTTCAATTACAGAATTTAATACAGAATTTTTTAGTTTCTTATCAGATATCACTTGCAAAAATTTGTTTCTACTGGGGGATTTCAATATTAACATCTTGTACCAGGGCAGAGAAATTGATGATTATCTTCTTTTATTGTCTTCGTTAGGGCTTGAATCTATAATTTCAGAAATTACCCGGCCAGTTTCTGGTTCTTGCATTGACCATATCTTTATGAGACTGTGTAATAATAATAAATTTTTGATTTTTGGTGAAGTTTTGGACCTATAACTGACCATTCCATGTTAAGTTTAAAAATTGAATATTCGTCTGTGATTCGACCTAATAATTATATTTATGAGAATTCGTTTCAAAAAATTGATTTTAATAAATTGAGGACAGCTTTATTGTTTGAATCCTGGTCTGATGTTTATATTGTGGATGATACTTCGGTTGCTTATTCGATCTTTTATGATATTCTTATGAAACACATTGCAAGTACTAGTGTTATGATACGTAATAGGGACAAAAAATTGAAGCCGTGGATGACAAATGGTCTTATTAATTTTATTAAGAAAGGAAATAAATTACGTCCGAAAGTTAAAAAGAATCCAAATAATGTTCGTTTAGTTTCTTATTATAAAAAATTATGCAAAAACGTTAAGGTTAAAATTAAGAACAAAAGATAATTACTACTTTAGTAAATTGAATGCAAATAGGGGTAATTCTAAAGTTGAATGACAAATTATGAATTCTATTTTAAATAAAGATATGGTTTTAGATCCTGATATTGTGCTTGAAGAGGAGTCTGTTAAGTAATCCTTCTGAAGTTTCCAACTGTTTTAGTAAACATTTTAATAGTGTTGGTGAAAATTTGTTGTGATAGTAGTAAAATTCTTGATCGTAATTGGGTTTCGTCAGCTATTATTCCTGAAACATATGGCCGTGGAAGTTTCTTTTTTGAACCTTTTACGGCATCAGAAATTCATAAATTAATAGTGGGTTTCAAAAGCTCGAACTCCAAGTCATCAGATTTACTGTCTTCATATCTTTTGTAATTTCAATAAACTTTAACTCAAGGAATTATCCACATACTAACTATAAGAACTATAATAATAATTCAAATTCAAATTTAACCCTAAAAATAACAACCATTTTAATTACAATACCTGTTCAAAGTAGATTTAACCGTAATCAAAGTGGATATTCTAGATATTTTAATAACTAACAAATTAATAGTAATAACAACAAGCAGCCCCAGAACTGATAGATGTTGACGTAATTTTCGTAACATTAAATAATTCTCAAAATATATTATTTGAAGAAAATTTTCCTTTAGAGCCTCGGAAAATTCTTTACCAATAGTTGAATTTACCATTAATAATAAAATAAATAATTGTCTAATAGACACTGGTTGTTCTACCTCTTTCATAAATAACATATTATTTCCCAAAATAAAAAAAACAATATTGAACTTAAAACAATCGATTGAAATTAATACTCTGTTTGGCAATAATAAAATCTATTATACCTTAATAACTGACGTTCTTCTTGAATTTAATCATGAAAATATGAAGAATACTATCTTTAAAAAATAAAAATTTTGATTCAATATTAGGACAAAATATATTAGGAAAATATTCGTAGTCTAAACTTCATACATACTCAAAAGAAAATTAGTTGAATTATTTGCCAATTAATTGCCAATTATATTATCCAACTAGAATTAAAAGAAAATATACATATATATTTTTTAAGTAACACAAAAAACAACAACAATTTTTAAAATAATACTGCAAATCTTGGTACTTGTTTTGCTTCTAAACAATACTGTAGCAAAAATTTCAATGGGGAAACAGAATCTGGTTACACTTTAATTCAACAAGAGCGAATCCTATTATAGATAGTTAAATTAAAATCTTTCACAGTGTAAATTTCGGCGACATTAACGATATAATAAATCTAATAGACTCTAGCATTAACGTTTCGTTTTATTTATCAGAAATCGATTCTTCTTTTAAAATTTTGAACGACAAAATTAGTAAAATAAAACATACTTTTAAAACGTTGATTCCTTTTAGATGTAAGAGGTCACAAATTAATGTTGGTGGCTCATTTCTAAAATGGAGTTTTGACACAAGGATGAAGACGACAGACTTGAATCGAAAGAAAATGTAAAGACTCTAGATTTTAATATTCATAACCTAACAAATAAGCAAAATAATCAAATGAAGATTAATAACAATATTCAAAATAATTTAAAATATTGCAGGAAACTATTAATAAAAACCATTTGAATATAAATAAAATTTTAAAAGACATCACGGTCGAAAACCGATATATAACTAAGCAATTACAGCAATTACAATTGCTTACAAATATTGACTAATATTGACTACTTGGCAGCAACAAATAGTAATAGTTTAATTTTTGTTTTACGATTACCAATTATAAATGAGGAAAAAGGTATCAAGTATAAAATTGTGGCGGTACCACATTCTAAATTTCAAGAAATCGAAATTATAAATTCAGATATCAAATTATTCCAAAATAATATTATCCCCATATAACCCAGGAAAAATATAATAAATTAAAGTATCATCAAATTTTATAACAAATTTTTTTATAAAGTCTTATGCAAATTGTTTAAGAACAATTGAAAAAACTTAGACATTGTAAAACTAGATCAAGGATCAATTTTAGCAAAAAATGCTGTAAATCATAAATTGTTAAAAGATTGTAATAATATAACATATTCATTTAACAAAAACTGTATAACTTCGTTCAATAATTATACCATTGAAATTGATAATGTAAAATTTTCAAATAAAAATAGAGAATTCAAATATGTACAATATTGTAATTCCAAATTATTGTGATATAAATAAAATTGGGTCAAACCAATGGTTTGTATTGTAGCACTTTTCCCTTCAACAAGTGAAAATACTGCTTTTAAATACAGTCTATGTATACCTACCTTCCTACCTTACTATTCCTACCTTACTATTCAAATTATTTTCATTCATATGAAACTATTTCTAAAATTACATATATTTAGTTATATTAGTTTAGCAAAAATTAATTTAAAGAGGGGTTAATATAATGCTCGATTTTAAGGGTTAATTTTGTGATTTAAGAAAAATAATAATATTTTTTAATGTCACGGAATTTACCTTTAGGGGGTTTTCGTTTATCATCAGACCTATCAATAGTAGGGGACTTTAGCCAAACCTAAAACACACCTTGATAGTCAAAAAATCTTAAAACTAGTCAAACTGACTATAGTTAGTCAATACTAACTAACTAGTGAACTAACTAGGTCTATTTTGCCTCGGGATTAACTAGTCTTTGTATCCAAACCCCCTCCCCAGTAAGTCGGGAGGCCTCGAAATTTACATGTTGTTCCTAACGCAAACTATGTTTCATGACGTGGCTCTTTATCTCTTTACTTACTAGGGGGACATCCAGATCTCTATGAATATCGCTATTGCACACACCCCAAGAAGCATCCACCATATTACGAAGGACCTTGTTCTGGAAAGTTTGTACTTGTTTGACATATTTGTTTGGCACAACCCCATAACTATAAGCCATACATCCATATACACTTCGTCATTTGGTAGTATATCAACACCTTATGGTATGTTGACAATCCAGACACACGACGTAGGAGCCAATAGTTTCCTCTACATTTATTTTCTAATTCTATTGTCTTCTTCTTTATATGTTCTTTCCATCTGAGTTTGATACCCAACGTCATACCTAGGTATTTTTCTGTATTTTGGATTCATACTGTAAAACCATTCAAACTCAATTATGGTGCGTTCAATAAATTTTTGTTTGTTCACATGTACAGACTTAGGACAATTCATTGAAAAATAAGAAAATTTTAACAAGATTTGAAGACTTAAAGAAAACTTACTTTAATAACCATTCAATACCTGAATCTGCCATTTTGAAATTTAAATTTAAGAAAAAAAAAACATGAAAAAGCGACAAAATTCATGCCATTTCTAACATTTCTTTATCTATTCATTTCTTTATGTATCGTGAATTTTCGAACGTACTACAAGCTAAAACTATTCTAGAACTGAATAAACGAAAACTCCCTTACTTTCACAGACTTATTCAGCCTTATTACACCCATACGAACGTATATTCGAAGCGTATACTAAATTTGCCTTATCGTTTGTAACGCTAAGAAATAATGGTCTTAGATATAGACTCAAGTGTATAGACTTTTGATCAGCGTCAAATTCTGAGTTGATTTAGCTTTGTCTATCCGTCCGTCCGTCCGTCCCAACGATAACTCAAAAACTAATTGAGCTAAGTTCAACGAATTTTCACAAAAGATTCATTGTAGTAAGTTCCAGAACCCTATTTAAATTGGACATGATCGGGGTACCGGTTCAGGTAGCTGCCATACAACTTCAAAATTTATTTGCGTATATCTCACAAACTATAAAAGCTATGGTGTTGAAATTTCACACAAGCAAATATATTAGTAGAGCCAATGTGTTTGGTAAAAGTCGTTGAAATTGCTTGGCTCCTTCTGGTACCTGACATACAACTTCAAAAGTTATTTGGCTATATGTCAGAAACTATAAAAGCTGTGGTATTGAAATTTCACACAAACAGGGCCAATGTGTCTCGTAAAAGTTGTTGAAATTGCTTGGCTCCTTCTGGTAGCTGTCGTACAACTTCAAAAGTTATTTGGCTATACCTCGGAAACTATAAAAGCTGTGGTATTGAAATTTCACACAAGCAAATATTTTAGTAGGGCCGATGGGCTGCATAAAATTCGTTAAAATTTCTGGGTTCTTTCTGGTAGCTGCCATACAAGTTCAATAGTAGTCTGCCACACACAGTATTTTGAAAAACACAGTACTGAAATTTCGCATAAATTAATATGGTAACACGGCAACTTAAAGTCATAGTCTGTCCCATAGTTAGTTATGGCATATTTATTCGTACATAGGATAATAAATTCGTACGGGCATCACAGAGTTGACAGGGTCAACTCTATTTTTTTTCTCGTTTTTTTTATCTTGTTTTATATATATTGCATATTTATTTATTTATTTATTTATTTATTTATTTATTTAATTTCAGACAATTTGTATAAAATTGTATATAAGAAATTAAACTCTACAAACGCTTCAAATCTTAAGAACTAAATTTACGAAAACTCACGTTCATTTTTATTCCGCATACATTAATTTCTTAAATTCTTTAAATAATTTTAAAACTAATTTTGAAATCATTTAACTTTTTAAAATTTTTTATTTCATTTGGTAATGTGTTGTACATCCTTATTGCACTGTTATATTCTAAACCATTTAATTTCATAGTAGAAATCACTCTGGGTACCAATAAATGCCCTCTGTGTCTGGTGTTATAGCTATACAGCAGTGATTGATAACGATGATTTCATCTTATTGTTTATAATCTTGAACACATATTTGTACTTCCCGAAATAGATGAGTTGACTTATATTTAGCTCATTTGTTCGTAACTATACCCATTTGATCGACATGGAATTTTATACAGTGACTCCAGCTGCCTATGTTGTATCGAATTTTCGACAATATATGCCCATTATGTATCAATTTTGCTGCTTTAGCTGGCACACCGCCTACTTTTAACTGTTTATATACTATTCTTATTCTATTCTTATACTACTCTTAACTGTTTTATATGCTTATCCCATATGATGATCTGACATCATCTATGTATATTCCAAAATATTTTACATGTTCCTGTCTTTGTATTATAATATTTTCACTTTTCTTTAGGTTTTTTTAAATATTATGTAACAGGTTTTTTGAGCAATTATGCAGTGTATTTCCGTTAAGCCAATTGATGCGAGATCATTTTTTCAATTTGATGCGTGAGAGAATTTGAAGATTTTTATTGAAAAAGTGTTCCAATTAATCTAAGGCTTTTGTTGTTGCCATTAAGTTTGTGTCGTCTGCATATATTGCGTATGTTGATTGTACATATGTTACAATTCTCTTTGCTTGAATAATCAGTTTTTTAATTCCTTTTTCATTCTTAAATACTTATTTTTTTAATTGTGCTATGCTGATCCTTTTTATGTGCCTTATATAAAAAGCGCTTAATTTCTTATTTATTAATAATAAAAGGTGTTATCCACGTATTGCTTCTTGACCTTATTGTATGAGTCGTAGTACTATTTTCTTTAGCCTCCTGTATAATATGAATTAATTTATCAACTTCAATAATATTTTTCTCACTTAACCCATAACTGACTATTTCATACATTTTATCGTAATCTACTCTAGTAAGTGATCGCTTAGCGTTAGGTTTTATCACATGTTTTATTAAATCTAAACTAACAAAAGCAGTTTTATGATCAGATATGTCGCCGTCTTCAATTTTGTATGTGATTTTGTGCTGGTAATTTTTATTTTATACAACTTCTCCAACAAAATAAGCGTTATAAAGAAAAAAGGTATTAAAGTAAATAATAAATTCCTTAAAAAAACCAAAATAAAGTAAACATGAAATTACAAAAAAATTTTTTTATTTTTTTATATTCACACATACACACATACGTACATATAATTTTGATTTGTTACACATATTATGTATTGTGTATATGAGGTATGGGAAAAAATCAAAGATACATGTTTGCCGCATTCTCTTTATTTTGCTTTAAAAAGATTTTTCGAACTTATCTAAATTTTTAAAAAACTCTTAAAACGAAGAAGAAGGCTTTATGAAACAGAAAATATCTGATGTTAATGCATCTGAATACTTTTCGTCGTCACAAAAAAGACTCAAAAATAGTTCGAGTAGTAGAAAATTTCAAGTACGAGAGATTTTCGAGTATGAAAGATTGTTTTGTATGAAAAAACAGATGTAACGTTTTACTGTAAATAAAAAGTTCGAGTATAAGAGAAGTTCGAGTTCAGGAAGGTAGAATACGGGAACTTCCATTGTATTTATGTTGACATCAGTAAAGAAGATGCATTGTGTCAGCTGGTCTATTTTCGTTTCTAAGTAGTCGGCAAAAAGCGTGCAATTTTCAACAGGTGGTTTGTATAAGGTACCTATCTTAACTTTTGGTTGTGTATTTAAAATTTTAATGACAGTAAAATTATATATTTCAATTTTTTTCATTGTAGTGTACTTTGTTATTTAACTATATACAGCTTTGATATTTTCTATGATGTGTACGTCAACTTCATTTTCAAAAATCCATACTTCCGTCAGAATAACAAAATCCACAATTTTATAGGTCTGTATTAACTTTTCAAGTTCCAGAATTTTGTGTCTAATACTGTGCATATGTGCAGGTATAAAATATTTAATTTACCTATTTGATTAAAATTAATATGTTTCACCACATTTTATACCTATTATATAATCATGCCAATTTACTTGAACTTTCTGGAGGTATTCTCCGTGTCTGTTATTGATATGGCGTCTATATATTTTTAGATTTCTTATAACTTTTTGCTGCTTAATTCCTATTGTTTAACGATATTTATAGCATATTTTACGAAGTTGTTGAGTATCCGTGGGTAAGCCCTCTTGATTGATGAGCACTTTAATGCTAGTTTGTCTCATACTATCATAACAGATATCACCTTGATCATGGAAGTATGCAAGGACCGAGATAGTACGTACACCACACCATCACTTTCTATTGCTTTTTTTGTAAGTTTTACAATGGGAGGAGCCATTCGATCCACAAAGGAATTAGCTACTTTTTTATTATGTTTATCTGGATTTTGGTTATAATTCTCAACGTCTCCTTGTAGATTTAATGTTATTCCTTTGACCCAGTTAGTATATTTGCAATTAATTTTATCGTTATAATAGTATCTTTTTTGTTATCATTAATATTGTTTTTATTATTGTTATTGTTGTTATCATTACTATTATTAATATTATTGTTGATGTCATCATTGTGAATAATATCGCTAATCGCATTGTTCTTGTTGTTATTTGGTGCTAATGCATAACTATTAGCATCATTAGTGTTTGAAGAAGAACGTTTGCGCATTTTGTAAATTTTATTGAAGTATTTATTTAAGATTTTACCATTTAATTTGGTTGATGTTTTTTTTTACTTTTAACAGCCCTTTCGTGCCCTTGGTTTGAGTGTTTCGAAATTTCCGTTTCACAATTCACTGCTATTTCCGTTTTCATTATTTTTAATGCTATCAGAGTTCCGCAGTTGTTATTGATATCCTTTCATGATGATTTTTTCCTTTTTTACATTTATTTTCTTTTAATAAAGCGGACATTCTCTGCTAAATTTGTCATGATTAACATTTAAAAACATTTAAGTTTTTCGTTCACTTTGATACAGTTGATGCACTTATTAATTTTTTCTTTTTTACATCTTCCATTTTTGCGATTTTTATGGCAATTCAAACAAGTTTCTTGATTTTTACATTCAGCAGCTTTGTGACTAAAACACTTTTATCTTTCCACATTAAATTGATACTTTTTCGCTTGCTATTACTTTAGTAAAAGATTCTTTATCAATCTCAATTATAGCATTTTTCGTTTTGTAGTTTTTTCACTCCAAAGAGTTTTATGACTTTCAGCTTCCTAAATTCTAAATGTTGGTTTTTGCTTTTAAACCTATTTTTAATTTCCTATGTATATTTTGCGCTCATATACATTATTTCTATATTTGGGTTTATATTTATTGGAATTTTTATGTCATATGAGTCTTCCAAATTTGTTTCAATAGCACATTTGATTTTTTATCTCTCCTCATTATTTGCTGCTTCCACCAAAACACTACCATTTTTTCTGTTTTCAATATTCATAATTTTTAAAATGTTTTGGATCTACATTCTTATTTAGATCCAAC